GGCATGGGGCGGAAGGAGAAAAAAGAGGGCAAAAAGATAGGTACCTGCGCGTACCTGCTGGATGAAGAAGTATTCATACATTTTCGATACCTTATCCGTTATGACTTCTTACCATGCCTGCAGGATCAAAATTCACTTTCTCTCGCTTGTCATTTAGATCCCCGGAAGCTTCGTTGCATCTAGGCATGAAAGGACAAGGTAGCTGTGGATTGGAGGCAGGTTGACGTGCTGAAGAGCTCCCTGGGCCCTGCGTATTCCTGGTGTACTACGTAACGGCAATGGAGCTGCATCGCAGAAGAGGACAAAGGCAGAGTATCCGTATGACTTACCGAAAAAAAGAAAGAGAGAAAAAAACTCGTCGTTGCAGATATCCACATCCATCTTGACCTTTACCGTACCGACTACACGCCAGGCGTGCTGCATGTGTCCGTACTCCCTACAGATTCTTTGTCTTCTTCTCTTTCTCACTCTTCCCAAGCTCTGTCCTGATCCCCACCCCATCAAGCCCGCCTTCCCTCTCCGCTTGTGGAGCAGACGATTCGCGCCAACGTCCACGGGTCGGGGGTAAAGTCTCCACCGATGCGTGCTTTGGAGGCGCTGCAGACGCTACAGATACCACGGACTTGCTGCAGCTCCAGGGTTCACCTTTGCAAGAAAATGAAAAAAAAAAAATGCTTCCAACTTGTCAAGGCAAGGCAAGGGCCCTGCATGTAAGGTAGTGTACGAAGTAGTGTATGATGTGGGCGGTCTCTTGGTACTTCGGGCTGCCTGATGCCGACCCGACGAGGCAGAAGCAACCTCATCCTCGCTCGTCTTTCTGTTTTTCCTCCGTGTCTCTCATTCCTTCCTGTCTCTACTGGCCCTCCGCTGGCCCGTGTCCCCGTTCCTAATGCCCAACGGCAGCCCCGATCATGCTTCTCCTTGTGGAAGGACCGTTCATCGCTTTTATTCCGGAGATTTGGTCTGGGCCTGCTCATCTGGCCACGGCAATTCAATCACAAAGCGGTAAAATTAGCTCTTGAACTGTTCAACTGAAGCAAGCAGCCGGCGAGTGATACTGTCCATCTTTATGCGCAAAGAGTAGCTATGCTGGCTGTGCTGCGTTGTGCACATTGCTCGCCATGCCAAAAAGCACGATGGGGAAGAGCTCAGCATAGGTAGGTATGGATAGTCAAAAGAAAGCCTCGCTTCGCTTAGAGGTACACGCGCAATGCTATCCGCACTTGCGGGTACAACGTATCTCTGGAGTCTGTGATTGCCCAGGGAGCTACGAAGGCAGAGTGACGGAGTAAGGTACACTACAGTACAACACTTGGGGCCCCTACCCGTTAGCTGGGATGTCAACGTGACGACCAGCGGGGATCCAAGCAGCGGGCAGACGTTGACCGAGGTCAGGACCACGTCCGACCAGTAAGCGGAGGCGAGAATGAACCAGGGGTCCAGCTCCGCTATGCTGCGGGAGGAGGAGGAGGAGGAGTATTCGTAGGAGAAGTAAGATGGGCGAACGCAAGCTACCAAGTAGCAGAACCACCACGCCGCAGCAAGGCAAGGCAAGACGCAAGACATGCGAGCGATAAAAAAGTCTTTTGCCTTGGCCTCGGAGCTTGAATCCGTGAGGCCCTCCTTTTAACACATGAGTATTCAAAGATGAAGTACCTTAAGGTGAGTATCCGTACCTTAGGGAAGGCATGATTGTGCTTCCAAGTTCGGATCATGGAGCGACGGGAGTTGGCAACGGTCGGTTGAAGGGTGGGGCGAGCAAGGCGAAGAACTCAGAATGGTCAAGCTTGGGGTCAGTGGTGAGGTGGTGACAGACTTTGCGAGTTACTTCCTGGTGCCAGCCCTGAGAGCCGTGGGTAGGAAGCCACGGCCGGGAAGGAAAAAGGAAAGGAAAAAGAGGCAGGCACAGGCAAGCTTGCTCAACTTTCAAGAGCTCCCCTGTGATGCGGCAAGGGCCTCTTTCCTCTGTCAACCACTCGCAAGCTCCGAAAAGAAAGAGCAAAGCAAAGCAGCCCGCTTCCTGCCCTGCTCACACCCCACCCCCCTCCTTCTCTCCTTCCCCTTGCTGTTGCTCTCGCTCTTGCTCTTGCTGTTGCCCTTGCTGTTGCTCTTGCTGTTGCTCCTCTTGCCCCTCTCCGCTACCTGCTCCTGCTCCTGCTCCTGCTCGTCCACCACAGGTTGGCAATTGCTTTCCTGTCACACCCCCTCCTTCTCAATCCTCGACCTCATCATCCTCCTCCTCCTCCTCCTCCGCCGTGCAAGTCCTCCACCCGATTGTCTCGACTTGAATCTTGCCTGGTTCTGCATCCACGCCCCCTGCCTCGTTCTCGTCCTCTTTTCCTCCTTTTCCCCTTCTTCTTTCATTCCCCTCTTCCCTCTGACCCTGGGGTCAACCAAGCCAATCTAATCCACCAGACACACTCGATCCCCGATCGAGTCATTGATCTCTTCCACCAACGCCAACCAATTGTCGGCTCTTGACATCGTCGGCGGGTCGACTTGCCGACCTTTTCCCTACTTTACCTTAGGGTACCTCAGTACGCATAGGTACTTCTTTCTCCTTCCCCTGTGCTTCTCGACTGGAATGCTCTCCATCCATTCCACTGCTGACCCCCGAGCTTTCGGGTTACCCTCCTGTCATTGGAAGATGACGCCGTCGCCCGGTGGTACCTTGAATGAGCACCAAGCTGGTGTCGTTATTTAGTAGCTTTGCCGGATCTTTCAAGCACCCAAACCCAAGCAATGGCGGAAGCGGCAGTGGCAGCAACAGCAAAACCAGAAGAAGAGACTCGCGGTCCTATGGGCGTCAACTGGTTATGGCTGCCCCCATTCTCGGACAAGTCAGGCACCTCGTGGTGCAATCTTTTTCGTCCAACAAAGAGAAGAGGCGGAATGACTGACTCGAGAAGAAACATCTTGTTACTCGTCTCTCGGAGCAATACGTTTAGTCCATCGGACTTGTTTCCAGGTTCAACAGCCCAGCCCAATGAGCCCAGTGTCATGGAAAGCTCGGCCTCGGCGACCAGCCGTGTGTCACTTGCTATGCAACGAGCTGGCGAAGCCGACTAGATCCTTCTGAAGCTGGTGGTGATGAAGCTTCAAAGCCTCTGCTTGGCTGGTTACTTACACCATCTCGCGTCACCATACCGACCGCCGCCGCCGCCGCCGTTCAGAAACAGCGCTCTTCTACCAGCGGCAGATGGAAAAAATGTTGATTACTCGTAGCTGACAGTCTGGCGACTGGTGACATTGACGCCGTCTGCCACGGGCCCAACCTTGAGGTGGACTTAGGTTCACCTAACCATGCGACGAATACCAAGTCTTACCTCACAGCTTGTCAGCTGTTCACCTCTGTCGCTCCCCAAACCGACTACTTCCTTGCTCCTTGTACCTTCCGGCCACACCCTCGCTCGTCCGTCTCCTTATTCGCGGCTGATAATATCCCTTTTCATCTGCATCTTTCATCACATCTGCTTCAGGTGTGCTGTATCCGTAGAAGCAAGCCCAGAAGCAGCATAGGCTCAGGCACAGAAAAGGTACGAGCGCGCAACTCAATTATCATGGCGGCGTGCGAAGCAAGCAAGGTAGGTAGCCAAGAGCCTTTCCCTCAGCATAGGTACGTAGAGCAGATTGGAGCTGTATTCGTCGGCGGCTCTTGAATCTTGTCTTGCTTTCGTCGATTCAGCCATTGCTTACCTACCTTACCTACTCTCTCCTGTCCAAGATTAAGGCAGAGTAAAGTACATGAACGAGTGAGAGAAGAACAGGCAAGGTTTTGCCAGACTCCAAACCAAGCTCCCTCCTTGCTCACACACCTTGCTATTATCCGTCCGTACTTCTTTTGCCTAGCCGTGTAAGTAGGGACTCATTTGGCTACGGATCATGCTGCGTAATGACTGACCTTATGTGACTGAGCTGCGACCATGATGTACCTGGGTGAGCAAGGTAAGGCAAGGCAAGGTAGCTTGTCCTGTCCTGACCTGACCTGACCTGGACCTGCCCTGGGTACCTTCCATGAGATACCCACCAGACCGAGCCACACCCCTACCTAGCCCGTCCAGTACCTCTCTTTTCCCCATTACCGCTACTTACTGCTTTCGGTCAACTTCCCTTCTGCCCCCCAAAATCAGGTTCCTTCTCTTCCTCTTCCTCCCCGTCCCTTCCTCCCCCTCCATTACACCTTGTTCTTCGAAACACTCTTTGTAACACGCCTCAAGACGAGAGCTTCCAGAGCTCCAGACTCTTGCTCACCGAATATCGCAGCCTTTTGTCGAACCGTCAAATGCTCAAGCTCCAACATATCCAGTCGCCTTCAATTGACCTCGCTTCGCGATACGCTACGACAGTAACAGCACTTATCGCTTCTCACCCCGCTCAATATCGATACCAGCCCTCAAGCGCATGGTGGGGTCAAGATGCCGCCCAGATCTTCTCTCACGTCTTCTTTTTCAATCACCGACTCCAACAATGAGGTCGTTTGCCCTCTGCGGAATCAGGATGGATCTAGCTGTAGGAAAAGATGCATCGGTGTAAGTCTCATCGTGCTGCCTGCATTGCCGCATTGCTCCTTCACGACGCCCTCTTCGCCACAAGCAGACCAACACTGCCCCCGTCTGCGCTGCTGCACCTCTCTACTTGGACCCAGTGCACAGAGAGAGCTTTGATTACTATAGCAAAAAATCCACTCGACCAAGAGAAAATTGAGAGCGCTACTCTGACACTTAATGAATTCCTAGGAAAAACGATATCGTTCCATGCAAGAACACATTCGCCGCGCTCATCCAGAACACTACATTTCGAAGCTCCCAGCGACCGAGGAAAGCTTTATGCTCATGATCAACACTCCTCCGTCCGAACGTCCAATGCAGCAAAGCGCAACTTCTGTTCCCCAGGGTTCGTCCCTCTCAATCCAGGGCTATCCCCCAAAGATTGACCATCTTCAAGGCTTCAATCACGACCACCACATGTATGATAACAGCAACCCGGGCACGCCTCGAACCATGGACGACCACGCCGTTGGTTCCATGCTCCCCGCTGCCAGTGCTGCTGCGGCGCTGGCCCAGCTCCACGGCCACAAAGTCGAACCCGAATGGGAGGAAATGGTGAGTTAGAACATCCTCTCCTGACTGACTTACAAACTCAAACAACGATTGCTAATCAAATATACGCTACTAGGGTTGGCACTCAGACACGGAGGGACGCCGCATTCCAAGGACATCAATTGAGCTGCCTCCGCTGCACTTGACGAATAACGACATCACTAGTGAGCCATTCCCAGCTATGAACTCGAGTCGGCCACGGGATATTCTGCCGTCAATTCTGGCGAATTCGCCCCCCGGTCGCTCTTCAACATTACCCCCAATCCAGCGGCCTGCTGTGGGACCTGCCCGACCAAGGAAGCAGTCCGTCACCAAGAGAGGCCGAGAGGCTCACCACAAGAAGCAAAAGTCTCGCGGTTCGGCAGCAGACTGGCTTCGGCGGATCCAAAACGACGAACGGCTTAGACCAGGTAACAATGACCGTAAGGCGTTATCAGCTGAACCTTCTGCAGACTATGGGAAGAGATGGGAAGATCTCATCGATGCCGCCGATCAAGCTGCATCCGCTGCCGGCGACATCGATGAGGACAGGACTCCAGTAAGAAGCTTCCATGCACTCGCATCTTAACATCCTCTGACCTTCATCCAGATGCCTCAATCACCAGTTTCTATTCACAGGGCTTCATTGCCGCCATTCCAGTACCATGGATTCCCATCAGCGACAGCCGGGGGAAACTATCAAGCCTCGCCACTACAGCAGGCCTTGACCCCGCCATCCTACAGCCAGGACACAATTGACCCATTCCCATCGGTTGAAAGCGGTGAAAGCGGGGAGAACTTCCACATCGAGTCTCGAGGCCTGTCGGATTCATCACCAAGTTATTCTGCTCAGAATACCCAAATCTACTGCGCAGCCTGTCAGAGCGTTTCACTTCTCAAAGACTCCTACGCCTGCACGGAATGCATCTGCGGTCTGTGCCAGGCGTGTGTTGACGTTCTCATGGCAGAGCAGGGGGCTCGCCGCAAATGCCCCCGTTGCGCAACAATCGGCGGCCGGTTCAAGCCGTTCCAGCTTGATATCCGGTGATTATTATGTCTTGTCAACGACCATCATGCATACTTTACGCACAAATATTCGAACTCTGAGGCCCACAAATTGCATTTGAAATCACACACGGCGTCTTGGATGGGGCCAATGCGCATATACAGCATCAAAGCTTGGCATAAGGATTCACCGCATCGATAATACCCCCGGCGTTGCAACTTCGCGAGAGCTTAGACAGAGAGCTTTTCACGAGCCGGTTTCTCCACATTCTTTACGTTATTATAGGGACTCGTGACTTGTGACAGTCTTGGATAGGTGTGGTTCTCTCTTTTTTCTTGACGCTACGGGCAGAGTATGGGATATCAAAACGATTACAGGATCAAGGGTGGGCTCGCACGTCGTTATGACCTTGGTTTTTTGGCTTATTGATAATTCGTTCTGGGTGGGTACAGGCAAACTGTTCTTTAGGAGTACTCAATTGGTTTATAGATGCCAATCATGAAATTTAAATCAATCTTAGCTATAACATTGAATTTTCCGATCATGGGTATCATTCACACTCGTCTTTGTCACTAAATGTATACAAGAAGCAAAGGGTGGATGGGCTCATCATCATCTTCTAGAGTCCTTCTCCTTTTCTTTCTTCAAGAGCAAATCGCGCATGGCGGCTCTAGCGTTGCGACTACCGCCCAGCTTCGGACCCTTGAGGACTTCTTCATCGGCCTTGCGAGCCCCGGCGCGGGCCGCCGGCGCTGCCGTCTTCTTCTTTTGTTGGCGCTGGACCATGGCGTCCATGAACTCGCGCCGGAACTCCTCGGCGATGCGGTCGTCTGCGTCGCCGTCGCCGTCGTTTTGGGGTTCCTGTGGTTTTGGTACATCGTAGACGTCGACTAAGTACGTTTTTCAGGTTAGCATGTGCTTATGGCCCCAGTTGAAGAGACTGACAAAACTCACGTCTGTTCTCGCGCAGAATCTCTTCGACGAGTTGGTCGCGCTTGATGTCGTCGCTGGTGCGCCTGTTCCTGGGTCGCCAGGGCTTACCGTCCCTGCCGAGGCGGGGTTTCTTGGCTCGCCGGCCGCCGGTGTCTTCGTCGACGGCTTCGCCTAGGAGGCGGCGGGCAGCTTTTTCCGTCATGGCTTGGTTCCGGGCGCGGACTTCGTCGCCGAGGTCGACTTCCATGAGTTTCCCTTGCATGATGGGGTGATTTTTGGGGTCTGGGAGTTCGGCTGGTCCGGCGGAGGGTGCTGTTTTTGACGGATTCGTTACGGCGGTGGCAGCTTGATGTTGGGAGGAGGTTGATGGTTCGGATGGTGGTGGGGGGTTGCGGTTAGAGAGGTGCGATTCTATGTATTCCATCCTTGCTTGATCAGCCTCTGGCGTCGGGATAGGGAGAAAGAGTGAGGAATGGAGTTTCCACTAGGGGGGTTATACATACATGTGTTTGTTGACGATTGTTGTGGCTGCTGCGCCGGTCTGCGGCGCGAAGCGCTTGGCGATGAGGGGGTCGTCGTCTGGGGTTTGTGCTGGGGCGGGAACCAATGCGCGCGATGATGATGACGACGACGATAGGATCATGGGGTCTGTATCGTCTCCAGCGGCGGCGAGGGTGGTTTTGCCTCGCGCGGAGAAACCTACGCCGTTGAGTCGCTTGCGAGCGCGGTGACGGAGGGCGGAGGGGATGTGTGATTCGAGGCCATCGTCGGCGGTGGTCTCGGTGGCAGATGCAGATTTCGTGGTGTTTTCTGCTGTCGAGTCCGGTTTCGAGGCCGTCGGGGTGTCGTCGTCGGCGGCGGCGGGCGATACGGCGCGTTGGCGGAGGCCTGCTTTGCGCTTCTTGTTTGCGCGGAAGAGGATCGGGGCCGGGGCCGGAGCCGCGTCTGTGGCTAGCGTTTCGTCGTCGGGCGGCGCCATGATGGTTTTGATGTGAGCGCCGGTGCGCGCGAGTACTTGTATTGGAAGCGCTAGGTTTAAATTTTGGCGGGTGTCCTGGGTGCGGCGTTTTTTTGGACGTTGGTTCCGAGAATGTAAAGACTGGTGGATGTGTGTATGTTGTAAATCGGAACATGGACAGAAGGCGCAAATTCGCCTGGGCGATTGAGGCCGCGCCAGGAAACTCCACCTTGCTCCGGAGAATGCCGAGGATTAGCCTATCGATAATGGACTGGACATGGGTGGTCAGGAAAGTGCAACACGCTGGCATGGATGTCATCGGTGTGACGGCGTCAACGACCTCCACCAGGTTGGTTCCCGCTTTTTGTCTTTACCCACTGCAAGCATGTCGCAAGAGCTCGAGGGGAGCTCCGAGCTACTTTTAACCTCTGTGCATCTTCACTCCCTCAGCTCTTACAACTTCATCTACAGTCGTTGAAAACCGGACTCGAAGTCAACATGGCGAAGAGAGTACGCAATTCCTTCGGGGACGGGATCTTAGAGTCACTGACGGGAATTAGGTATACTTTCTGGCCCATGGCGGTCAAGTACAAGGTACGTTGTCTTCCGATCCTAAGCCCCTCCCTCCACATGAGCTCCGAGCTTTTATCTGGATAAGAAGGGAGGGGTGTGAGCTTGTGATAAGTGACTTTTTTATATCGGGACACACTGACGTCACAAATCCAGGTGTTGGATTCCGGTATGTGATGGAAATTTCCGACAACACGGTATTTCAATTTTGGTTGGGCCAGTTTGGTGTCAATTGAACTGGTGATGCCAACCTTTGTAACAGTATGATATTGACGAAGCGATGCGGTTGATAGGTACTTTACGCAGAAGAGAGCCACTGAGTATGGCCTCACGGGATGGTGTCGCAACACTGATAACAACAAGGTGAGTTTTGCGTACTTTTTTGTTTTCTCAATCATTTACAGGGGACATTGTTCGACATGAGATTTGACAAGGATTTACGCATCCGAGAAACCTGGCTATTGACAGAATTGGTACCTAGGTTGAGGGAGAGGCGCAAGGTGACGAGGATGCGCTGAAGAAGCTGCTTAAGGACATTGACGAAGGACCAAGATCCGCCAGGGTTGTCAAGCTTGACCAGGAGGAGAGAGATCTTGTTCAGGACGAGAATGACTTTGCAGTACGACGATGAGTTGTCGCTTAAGTGACTTCTCTTCGATGAAAAATGTTAGTAAGAAGACTAGGATTGAGAGGGGTAGGTGATGAAAAGGGGCAGACCATTGGCACGTTACCTTTTTTATCGCTTTAGAGCTCATGACTACGTCTTAACAACTTTCTTTGCTTGAAGGGGACCTTGCTTGCCCAGTAACACGATAAGCATATCTCGATGACAGTAGACTTGATAGAGTATCTAGTATACTCACGGCGAACGTATGACTTGAGCAACATGTTCTGCTTCTCGCTAAGATAGAATAAAGACAAACTGGCATGCTGCAAGCCAAGCCCACGTCCTCCCCTCTCAGCTTGCTCTAGGATCAAGACCGTCAGAACATGCGAAGGCAGAGAGCCCCATCACCATGTGCCAACATCCTTATAGCTATATTGCGTGAAGGAATAAGACGACCGCAAGCTTACAGGTCAGCGTTCTTAACCTCTTAGAGAGTGCTTTTCTTCTGGGCCATGACCTTATGGAACACAAGTGGGCGCGTTACTTCCCCTTTGGAGACTGCAAAGATGATAGGATGACAGAGCTGATATAACAAGGGTGCAAGATGCGAGATAGCTCATCCCGTTAAACACAACAAGGACCTGCTCGGTAAAGAAGGCCAGCGTGATCTTTTGTCCAGGGCATCTTGCCAATATCAGTGGGCCACTCAGTTCGCCCTGAACATAACAGTCGTACTTGAAACTATACCAGTCCGTCGGCGCCTTTACTCCTCCAGCACTGCCTCAAGGGTATTATCGCTAAGTTTCACGGAATACATGCTAAACACTAGGAAATAACGGGCATCGTATGGACTTATGAGCTTATTTTTCACTTAAGCCAGCGTAACGCGATCCCGAGGCATGCGCCGCGCAATTGTTTCCAGCGTTGGTTTCTTAGCTGTGGGAGGACTGACTGCTGACGTCTTCGCACAAACCGCAACCATGCCACCACCGCGCATCAAATCAATTACAATCTCGAGCGATGAACGCACCTCATCGGTTCCAAATTATTTGCCCCAGAGTTTCCCTGTCAAAGCGATGTCTTACAGAACAACAGAGGCGCGACACCGTTTCCCTGGAGGCTACAAAGACATTAGAGTTAATATTAAAAGGCCTCAAGATTCGATATGTACTGTCCTATTAAGCACAACGACAACTGGCGATACTGATTTCCGCCCAGGAGAAGTACGCGCCAATAGAGACTTTAGCGGTGTGCCCATCTATAATACCCATGGGGCCACTCGAACGCTATGAACATCACCATGTCACTTCAAACTACCTTGGCCCGTCAGCGATGCCAACCCTTCTACCCTGCCTCGTAAGTATTATCCCTAGCCTTTGCGGAATACACTATAGAGACTGGAAAAGGCCAAGGTTCCTCGGAACAAGATCGGCCAAATGGAACTTCCTGAGAGCGATTATCACGAGCCCACCGCCTGGTCGAAACCGAACGCAAAGGATGGTGGCGGCGTAAACTAGTCCTACGTTTTCAACTTCAAAAACGTCTACCGAGACATGCCATGGCTGCTTCTGATCTCATCGGTCAAGTTTGTGCCAAACTTCAAATCTTTGTCATTTTATGGGAGCACGGAAGGTATCTGATATGTAGCGGGAAATGTTCAATTGATCACTTGAGACTGCTTAGCTGATTCCTCAAAGGTCTTACGATGAGTAGATCCCTACACGAGCCTTCTGATATTCCCTTACATTCGTTCCGGAGGGATATAGAGTTCGGGATATCAAGTCAACATGCAATAAGAGCCATCGATACTTTGGTGCTCACGTCGAGAATCTCGTATCTTGACACTCGCATCTTACATGGCCTCGCTCACGCCAAAATGACGATCGCCTTCTACGACATTGTGCATATGCCTCATCGCTTCTTCTTTAGTCACTTGGGTCTAAAAGCTGCGACGATGAACAAAAGTCAAGTCTCAAGGGATTCAAACCCCTCTTGGATTCATAGGTTCTATCCAAAACATCAAAAAAAACAAAAGATCGCTAAACGCCTCTACCCCGTCGCTTAATAACAGGCTTCCTCACAGCCCCATGCGTAACAATCTTCTTTCCCCCAGCCGCCGCCGCCGCAACCCCACCTGTCTTCCTCCTCTCCAGCCTCTCCTTCTCGGCCTCCACCCGGTCCGCCTCCCTCTTCTTATCCTCCGCCATCTTGGCCTCAATCTCCATCTTGCGGTTAAACTCTGTCTCGGTAATGCGCTTGTCCCGGACAGAGTACCCCTTCTCCTTGACCGAGTAAAAGACACCGCCCAAATCGGCGAGCCAGTGCGGGTCCACCGCCGTGACGGTCGACACGTACACCTTCGACGTCAGGATGAGCTCGTGGTAGACGACGTAGTCGGGTGGGTGGCCCGCGTACAGCGCCGACGTCGGGTGCAGCTGGACGCCGAGGTTGGTCCGCAGATTAATATACTCCCCGGAACCCTTGTACTTGGCCGCCTGGTGGTAGTAGCCGCTGCAGATGCACTTGCGGATGACGTCCCAGTCCATGCCGCAGCTCAGCATCTCCATCTTTTGCATCTTCATAATGTCGAGCAGCTGGTCGCGGATCTCCTTTGCGCGGCGCAGCGATTTCGGGTGCAAGAAGTGCTTGATGCACCACCCGTCCGAGCAGCCGTTGGACCGCCACGCCGAGTACACCTGAAGATACGTCAGGTGGTCCGACTCGTGGACCCAGAACTTTTCGCGCTGGGCGTCTGCCTCGTCCTGGCGCTCTTTTGGTCGGTAAAAGACGTTGGGGACGGAGAGCATAGACACGATGGTGATCATCTCCTCGCTGCAGCCGTATTCCTCGGCCGTGATGAGTAGCTTGGAGAGGGACGGGTCCATTGGGAACGCGCTCATCTTTCGACCGAGCGTGGTCAACTCCCCCAGGTTATCCAAGGCGCCCAAGGCCCACAGATCGAACATGGAAGTCGTGATGGTGTCTTGTGGCGGGGGGTCCATAAAGTCGAAATCTAACAGATCCTTGACGCCCAGGGACTTGAGCATGAGTACCGTGTTGCTCAGATTTGTACGCTGGATTTCGGGAATCGTCTGCATATAGAGTTCCTCTTTGAATGCCTTCTCCGTGAACAGTCGAAATGCCTTTCCAGGTCCTGTTCGACCGGCACGTCCTGATCGCTGCGACGCGTTCGCTTGGGAGATGGGCGTAATCTGAAGAGTGTCCATACCCATCTTTGGGTTGTATACCTTCATCTTGCTGTATCCAGCGTCCACCACGTACTTGATACCATCGACCGTCAAACTCGTCTCGGCGATATTCGTCGCGACGATGCACTTGCGCACGCCGGGCGCTGCGCGGTCGAAAATCTTTGCTTGCAGGTCTGCCGGCATCTGACTGTAAATGGGCAAGATGCTCAGCTTCGGGGGGTCGTTGAGAGCGTCGAGCCGTTTCTGGATCAGCTCGCAGGTGACCTCGATATCTTCCTGTCCCGTCATGAAGACCAAGATGTCGCCCTGGTCCATGGACACGTGGATGGCCAGGACCTGCTGAACCGCTTGATCCACATAGTCCTCGACCGGTGACCTGTGAAACATGACGTCGACGGGGAAAGTTCGGCCTGGGATGATGAACTCGGGCGCTCCGCCGTAAAAGTCGGAGAAGCGCTTCGCGTTCATCGTCGCAGACGTGACGATGAGCTTCAGGTCTCGCCGTCTTTGGAGAATCTTCTTGAACAGACCCATGAGGATATCCGTGTTGAGAGCTCTCTCGTGGGCTTCGTCCATGATGACGCACGAGTACCTGTCGAGATCAGGCTCGTTGAGCGACTCGCGCAACAAGACAC